GGCAATAAAACGTTGCAGGCCGGGGTAGGGGAACCAGCAATTTCGGGCTATCGAGCGTGGTCCCTCCGGCTTTATTATTGGCCCTGCAATTATTGTTGATATACGCGCAACCCGGCAACCCAGGCATAATGTTCCTATATAGGGCGCGGCGATAAAAGCTGCGCTCGCAAAATGGCGCCCGATTCTTCCATGCCTCCTCTACACTCTTTTACCGCGCCAGCCTCGGCCAACACTCTAAAACCCCTTTTGCTGTCCAATTCATCCACGTGCTTCGTGCTTTTTCTTTGCTCCCTCTGCCGATGCACAAATCATTTCTCGTGCGTGTGTTGCCCTCGAAAGAAAATAGGCGGTTTGCGAGAGGTCGCTTCTTCGATCATTGCTCCCTACAACCACGAAATAAACCGAAGAAGAACAAGAACAAGAAGAATCCTTCGTTTTTTCAAATCGTGGAAAGTACAATCAACGCAAAGATCGTGAAAAAAGAAGGAATTAGTCTCTTCGAGAAAGTTAGGTTAGGTTGTTCGACAGGACGAATAGAAATCCGCGAAGAAGAATCCTTCGTTTTTTCAAATCGTGGAAAGTACAATGAACGTAAAGATGGTGAAAAAAGAAGAAATTAGTCGTTTGGAGGAGGTGTGAAGGTTCGGTTGTCCGACAGGACGAATAGAAATCCGCGAGGAGAAAGGAGAGACGGAGAGGAGAAAGATGGACAGATAAGGAGAAAGAAATGTCGAGGGGAAAGGAAAAGGAGGGGGAGGGAGAGAAGGAGGGAGCGAAAGGAAGAGGAGAAGAGGCATTTCAGGATGCGATTACGACTTTTCTTGGTATTCGAGCCGTAGCGAGCCGCAATGGTGGCCATTGCATGCTCGCCTCGGACAGCCAAAGTAGCCATTCGACGTGGCGTACAGGCGTTATGTACTATCGTTGCACATCATTTTCGCGCGGTTCCTTCGCATAATCGAAGGGGTGAGCGTAACTGCCGCACACGAGACGACTCGTCGAGACTGACTCTTTTTCTATTCCTAACCGTGACTTTTCTATTTTATAAAAATCACGTCTGTGTCGGCACGCATGCCTGAGGTGTGAAACAGTAGAACGAGGTTGTTAGAGGATGCTAAGGTCGGAAAAGCGGATCGCGAGCCTCGAGTCGAACACGATTTGATTTTTTTTTTACGAACAAAACAGCAGTCACTTCGAAAGGAAATTAAACCAACTCTAGATGACCAGAGTGGACTGTGATGGAATCAGGACTCACGAAGCGTAACCCGTGACGGTGCTCCGTAATGGCGAGTTGCGGCTTTTCGCTGCTACCGTGAAAAACTAAGTTTCCTTTATCTGTCCGTGGTCGTTCACTTCCTGTTGCATATTCAGTGGATATTACCCTCTTTTTTGTTTTTAATTAAAGACACACTTTAGACCTCTCACTTTTATGTCACGCTTGCACTTTGAAAATTTGCTCACACTATTTCAGTTCGCGCCTTCATTTCATCCCTTCTGCACTTCCACCGTAACACTC